CCCTTGGGCTACCGCGCCCACGCGCACGACGTCGGAATGCTCGGGGCGCCCTAGAGCCAGGCGCGCGCCGCGCTGGAGGCGGCGACGACCTCCCTCGGCGGGGCGGGCCTCGAGGTGCACGGGACCTCCCTGGCCGGGGCTGGCGGCGAGGCCTTCGGCGTGCAGCTCGACGGCCACGAAGGTTGCGCGCGGCCCGCGCCCTCCAGGGATTGGCGAGTCCGAGGCGCCGCGCAGGCGCTGCTGCGGCGCCGCGCGGTGAGCGGGCTCGAGCTGCAGATCGTCATCGGCCACCTCGCCTTCTTGGGCCTGGCGCGTCGGGAGAGCCCGAGCTGCCTCCACCTCAACCACCGCTTCATCCAGCGGCACTACTCCGAGAGGGTGGCGCTGTGGAGCAGCGCGGAGCAGGAGTTGCGGGCCCTCGCGAGGCTGGCGGTCTCCCTGCATGCCGCCCGGGGTGCGAGATGGATGCCAGGCGCGTGCCAGTCCGGCGCGTCGCTCGCTGGTTTTTCGCCCTGGCCGACTTGCGGCGGGATCGTCGCGACGTCGACCGCGCGGGCCGCGTGCGCGAGCGGCCTGGTTATCGCCTCGGCTCGGGGGGTGCGCAAAGGCGCGATGCGGTGGCCGCTGGGCCCGAACTGCCGGCGGACGGCGGCGTCGTCGCGCCCGAGGCCCTCGCGCCCGAGATCCCCGAGGAGGAGGCCGCGCGCTGGGGCTTGGACCCCGCGGAGCTGCTGCGCGCCGACCGCTTCGCGGGCGGCCCTGGCCGATCGGTGGGCCTTCGAGGAGGGGGTCCTCCACTTCGTGGGCCGCGCGCTGATCGAGGCGGCGGAGAGAGCAGCGAGCTCGCGCGCTGGCCGCGACGGTCGGGCCCTCCTCCTGCGCGACAACACGGCGGTGATCCTCGCCTTCTCGCGCTCGCGAGCGCGGGGCTTCAAGCTGACGGCAATGATTCGACGGGCGTCGGCGTGCTCGTTCGGGCGTGGGCCAAGGTTCAGTCATGGGTGGATCCCTTCGGAGTTCAACAGCAGCGACGAGGGAAGCAGAAAATTCACAGGATGGAATTCGAAGCGGTTAAGCGCGCCACCCATCTGTTGCCTCGAGGAGAGGCGACGCCAGACTGACGCGACCGGGCCCTACTGGGCCCAGACACCGACGACCGATGGGGCCGCCCTGACGCGCCATCCTCCGGGGCCATCTCGGCTCGAGGAGGAGGGCGACGCCCCGACGGGGGCGGCGGCATGCCCTCTGGTCGGCGGCGCCTCTGGCATGGCGGCCGCGGCCCCGCTGCACGCCCCCGCGGGGGCTGGCCGCCCAGGCGCGGGCGCTGACGCGGGCCCCGGCGGCGCCGCTGGCCGCGGCCGACCCCCCGCGGGCCGCCTTGCCAGTCGGGGCCCGCGGAGGGCGCGCACGCTGAGCAGGACAGCTTGCGGCGGGCTGGATCGCCGGGCGAGCGCGGGCGCGGCGCCGCCGCCGGCGGGGCTCGAGCAGGCCGCCTCGACGGAGCGGGGGCGGGCGGCCCAGGCGCGGGTGCTGACGCGGGCCCCGGCGGCGCCGCTGGCCGCGGCCGACCCCCCGCGGGCCGCCTTGCCAGTCGGGGCCCGCGGAGGGCGCGCACGCTGAGCAGGACAGCTTGCGGCGGGCTGGATCGCCGGGCGAGCGCGGGCGCGGCGCCGCCGCCGGCGGGGCTCGAGCAGGCCGCCTCGACGGAGCGGGGGCGGGCGGCCCAGGCGCGGGTGCTGACGCGGGCCCCGGCGGCGCCGCTGGCCGCGGCCGACCCCCCGCGGGCCGCCTTGCCAGTCGGGGCCCGCGGAGGGCGCGCACGCTGAGCAGGACAGCTTGCGGCGGGCTGGATCGCCGGGCGAGCGCGGGCGCGGCGCCGCCGCCGGCGGGGCTCGAGCAGGCCGCCTCGACGGAGCGGGGGCGGGCCGCTGCGACCCTGCTCGCCAGTGCCAAGGCCGCGGCCGCGACCGCCGCTGCCGCCGAGGACGACAGAGCAGCCGGGGGGAGGAACTGCCAGGCCGCGGGCCCGCCCGCGCCGACGCCCGCCGCGCGGCGGCGCGCGCGGCGCATGGCCAAGGAGACCCCGCCGCCCGGGAGGCCCACAGCGCGAAGGCGGCGACCAGGGCGCGCTACCGGATGCACGTGGACGAGCGGATCGGCCTCGCGGACCAGCACGGCGCGCCGTTCGTCGAAGATGCCGAGGTCGACGACTGCATCGTCAAGTGGGCGAACGCGGAGTTCTGCGCGGGTCGTCGGGCCTGGCGCGGCGGGAGCACGCTGGCCGCGGTGATGTTCACGTCCCCAGGGTTCAGCCGCAACGGAGGGCGACGGCTGCCGCGGGCTTTTCGGTGCCTGCGTGGATGACGGCTGCTGAGCCCGCCGATGAGCCCAACGCCTCTCCTCTGGCCCACGTGGGCGGCGCTGCCCCTGCAGCTGGTTCGTCGCGGCCACGGGCTGGCGGCGATCGCGGGAAGGGCTGGCGGCGGTCGAGCCGCGCCTCCGTCCGTCAGAGCTGACGTCGCTGAGGCGCCCGTCACTGCTGCCGCTAGCAGCGGGCGGGCTGACCAGGTGGGGCCTCTTGTTGTTCCCGAGCAGCACCAGCCGATGCGAAGCAAGACGGGCGAGGCCGACGACGCAGCGGTGATGGGCTCACCGCGGGCGGCCTGGCTCTCCCACGTCTTCAGTCACCTCGGCAAGGGGCCCGGGGACGAGCGCCAGTCTCCTTGGGACTACAGCCAGTTATACCAGATGTTCCTGCAGGCCGCGGCTGCGCTGAATTTCAAGATGGCGCCCAACCAGGGCCGACGCATTGGCGCCTCCATCCGTCGAGCTCATCGCGAGAGGAGCCTAGACGAGCGCATGGAACGGGGCCGCTAGAAGGCGGCCAACAGCGCGGCCAGGCACGAGAACGCGGGGCGGCTGAAGGACGCCTGGAGGGAGCTGACGGCCGCCAAGCAGGCGCACGCCTTCGACTGCGAGCGCCATCTCGAGGAGGGCCTCGCGCGCGGGTGCCGTCTGCCGACGCCAGCGACGCGGCCGCGACGCCTTTCTTCGCCGCGCTGCTCAGCGGCGCAAGGCGCGCGGCGGCCGCCGCGTAGCGGGCCGGCCACGCGTCGGGAGAGCAGGGCGTGAAGGCAGGGGCCGTCGGAGACATCCTGAGACCATGAGTGGAGGCGGAGTTGCAACAGAGCATGCGGATCGGGCAGGCCCCAGGCATCATGATGGCTCCGCCTTGCACCTCCTTCTCGATAGTACAAACCGTGAATGTACCCCTGTGGAGTAAGCAGTTCTCCAGTAGGGAACGCCTGTTTAGAGTTCTGCCTCCGCGCAGTTCGGATGTGTCTGAGAATGCGCATCCCGTTTTGTCCTGCGCATCCCATCAGCAGTTATACGTGGCATGATCCAGTTTTGTCATCGGTGCTAGGGCCAGCCGCCTGCCGCATCGCAGTCGTGAACTATTATTATTGTGCTTTCGGGGCGCCCCACCGAAAGGCCACCCGACTTGTCCTCGGCGGGGCAGACTTCGACTTGGTTGTTGCCCGCGCTGGGCGCCGCGGTCGTTGTTTGGGTTTGTTTTATATGTTTCTCTCTCTCTCTCTTTCTCTCTCTCTCTCTCTCTTTCTCTCTCTCTCTCTCTTTCTCTCTTTTTTCTCTCTCTCTCTCTCTCTCTCTCTCTCTCTCTCTCTCTCTCTCTCTATGTATAGATCTCTCTATTTCTCTCTCTTGTTTTTTCTCTCTCTCTCTCTCTCGTTTTCTCTCTCTCTCTCTCTCTCTCTCTCTTTCTCTTTCTTTTTATATATATATATATATATATATATAGTAGTAAGCACATCATGTTATTGATTCGGGGCGCGCGCGAAGCTGCGGCATGCCCTCCAAAGTTGGTTCGCTCGGGCGCTGTTGTCACTGATTTGGACCGAGCGGCGTTCGGTCTACTTCGCCCTCGCCTTTGTCGTTATAGTGCGCGTGCCTCTCGGCTGCCCGCCCCCCGTGGCTGTGAACTTCGGCCTGGGTCCTAAAGGTTTGAGATCTGGCACAGATTTCTGGAATTCGAATTGTGTCCGCGAGCGGCCCCGCAGTTCGGCTCGCTCATCCCGTCGATGCAGTGGCGAATCTCAGGGCCCATAACCGCGTGTCTAATTCCGTCAAGTGGCAAACAGAGCACGTTTGTGGGGGGCCCGCGAATGCTCTTTCAGCCTCGGCCTGTCGTGTCTGCGCAGAGGCCTCGCCTCTGCAGTATATACCGCACCCGTTGGTCTAAAGCTCCCTGACATCTTTGAGAAGGGGGTACGGTGCAGATTTCTGCAATCCGAGTTGTGTCCACGAACGGCGCCAGAGTTGAGCTCGCTCATCTCATTGATTCAGTGGCGGGCCCGTCTCGCAACATAATGTTGTTTCCCGCCAAGTCGCAAACATAGCAAAAGGATTTTCTGGTGGGCCTCACCGCACGGAACCCGCCGATCTCGAAGTGAGCGTTTTGGCTGTGGTCGTGGTCGATTTGGCCCTCGGGGACGCTCATATCGACCACAGTGCTAAGCTGGTTTCGGTATTCTGGCGACTGCTGGCATGCGCCGAACATCCCCCAGAGCGTGTCCTTGATTTGGTTGTGGTCGTTCGCTGTCCTTTCTCGGCGTGCGTGCACTTCTGAGTAGTTGCTTCGGTGCCTGCCCAGGGGTGTCCGCGCGCCGCTGGCTGTAGCACGGCCGGTGGGCGTGGCCAAAAAGCTTCAGAACGCTCCGAAGGCCGCCTTCAGCCGATCGAGCCCGCAGTGTTATTACGATCGTTTCGCGCCGTGTCGACCAACGATGACCCCGCCGCCAGCGACCCAGAATCAGTCGATGTTGAACGATCTGTCTTGTCGGAAACGGCCGAACGTTCAAGATTGAATGATCCCCGCGGTGACAGACGCCAGCGCCGAAGTGGGCACGATCCGAGCCTGCCTTACCCCTCCCCGCCCGCCTCGCCCTCTCGTCTGCGCCCACCCCCCGCCCACCCCGAAGGCTGCCCAACGTCGTGCCCGCGTCCGCTGGCGTGGAGCACATCGAGCCAGAGCAGGTGCAGGCGCTGGGGGCAAGGTCACAGACTCCCTGGACTCGTGAAAAAATCACGACGGCAGGTGTTCTGCTATTTTCTGCCTCTGGGGGTCCTTACCGGACCTCGGGGCCATCAAAAAACGATTCAGGATGAAAAGCCGGCCCCGTGGAAGGAGTAGAGACTTCTGGGACCGACGTCATGAAAGAAAACATGACGTCGGGGGTCTGGGGTGGGGCGGGGGACTCTGTGTGGCTTCCCCAAGGAGGTCCGAGCAGATGAGGTCCAGACCTCGGGGCCCTGGGGGATCCACGCTCGTTCGGCCATTCGCCAAGAGTGACCCTTCGCCGGAGCGACGTTTGGTGCGAGCCCACACCGGTCCCCCGCAGCACTGGCCGGCGCACCTGGATTTCGCCCCACACGCGCCCCCGAAAGCCGCGCACGAAAGGCCACCCCTGCGCAGGGCCGCTCTTTGCGTGCACGCGACACGCTGGGAAGCGAGCCGCGGCCCCGCAAGACTCCTGGGCCTCCCAAGTGGGGTCGGAGGATCGCGCCGCATCGCCGATACCTCGGCGATGCGGCTTGATGTGGAGCCCGATTCTCTCCACGCCGACAACGCCGAGGCATCGGCGGTGCACTGGCGATGCGGCGCGATCCTCCGAGACCCCGTCTGCCTCCGACCCCGGTTGGGAGGCCTCCCAAGGTTGGAAAGTTTCGGCGTGGCCTCGCCCTCCTGCGCGTCCTTGGCGGCCCTTGCGGCCACGTTTAAGTCGGGCGTGTCCCTCTGCAGGAGGAAGATTCAAAAATAGTCAAAACATGGTCGGGCGACGATGTTGGAGCTCTGGTATGTTTTCTCTCGTCCAAAATCCGCCCGTAGGAGGACTCCCCACATCAGGCCACGGTTGGACGCAGCGCGAACAGATTTTGGACGCTTCTCGTGTCCACACCAGCCCATGCAGAGGCCCCTGGAGGCTTGCAGAACCCCTGACAGGGCGAAAAACAACATGTCTGAACACATTGATTCGGTTTCCTTCGCGGCGGGCGCGGCGGCCCGCGGACGATCGCTCTCAGCCCCGAGACAGGGCGCCAGGAGCGCTCGCGCTCGCCACCCTGGCGCAGGCGCCCCAGACGGATGCGCAGCCAGGCCTGCAGGGAACTGGGACGGGAGTGCCCGGGGAACGCGCTGGGCTCCCACAGCGGCAGCATGGGGCCGAACTCCGCGCAGTGGACGTGGTGCAAGCATTGTCAGAAGTGGTTGCGGCCCAGCCAGCTCGAGCCCCGAGACTTCTGGTGTTCATGCGGATGTCGAGTGGCGAAACCGAAAACGACCGCAGAAAACAGGGACGGCGGCTGGCAGAAGGATTACGAGAAGGCCAAGGGCGCGGGCAAAAGCGGCGGCAACGGCAAGGTCCAGGGACCCGAGCAGCGTGCGCAGGCACTGCAGATGATCACCGCCGAGGTTCGGGACCCTCCGGCTGAAGGGCGCGGGCGCCATCAACCAACATATACAGGGCGCGGCCACTGCCCTGCAGGCAGCGGCCCCGACGCCACAGAAGACGCGCGCGGAGAGGTTGGCTGTGGCGGCGAGGTCGGCGCAGGCAACAAACCGCCTGTACAAGACCGCGCACGCAACCAAGGTGAATGCAGATGACGAGGCAAAGAAGGCGCGCGAGATACTGGACAAGAGAGAGCAGCGGCGGCCCTGAAGCCAGAGACAGTGTTGGAAACGATCCAGAGCGAAGGGCGAATGGCACCATCGGGCATTCTGGAGCAGTTGGTCGCAGGCAGCCCCGGCTCGCTCTCAGAAGGCTGGCTGGCAGCGGACATCGGGCGGGAGTTCGATCTTGGCGAGGAAGACCTGGATGAGGAGAGGAAGAAGCAACCTGAGGAAGAGAAGAAACATCTCGCGAAGCAGATGCAAGAGAGCGCGATAACCTTCCAGGGGCACTTGAGGGACTGCGTCGCGAAGGCCACGCTCGCGGCGCTCGAACAGCGGCACGTCACCGCGCGGGCGGCACAGAAGAGGAAATCAGCAGGAGGAGGGGCAGCCCCAGCGGAAATGACGCGGCCTGCAGACGCGGCGCAGGCGGCGTCAGCCAGCTCCCCACCCCGCAGGCGCCGAGAGCGCAGCGGGGGCGCGGCGGCGGAGTACTCGGAAGGCCCAAGGTTGGCGAAAGCGGCGGGAATGGGCGCGGGCGCGCCCGAGCCCCCGCAACCGGACGTTACGCGAAGGCAGAGGCGCAGATGCCGGCGACGCCTCTGCCCGTGAACGCGCGTTCTGTTGCGCCGCGGCCAAGCTGTGGCCGGTCAAACAGGGGATTGCAGGCAATGGCTTCGACGTGCTGTCATTTCAGGAGGCGCGCGCGCCAGTGGCGAAGCTGGGGGGGCGCAGAGCTGGACCTTGCAAGGTTGGGTCGCAGGGTCTTCGCGGCGGCGGGGAGCAGCAGCAAGTCCGCCCGCGGCGCCAAAGTGGGCACCGCTGGCCCCATTCCCCAGATAACACAGAGCCCCCCCCCCCCTACCCCTGAGCGGTTGTTGCATCCGGGTCTGACAGATTTAATTGCGGAGGGGGGCGGCGAGGCCGAACGCGATCATCGCGGGGGGAAGTTGCGAATCGAAGTTGCGATCTTCTTATGTCGACTAGCAACATCATCAAAAACACAGCGTGGCAATGGAGGTCCCACGATCTCTTCAGCTGTCGCAAGTCACGAGCGCGCGGCAGGGCCATGGGATTCTCGCCATTTCAGCATTCCCACGTCACGAACGCGCGGCAGGCCAGCAGCAAGTGCCTGCCTCGCAAGGACGGCACCAAAGGGTGCCGAGCCTGCGCGGGCAAATGGTTCGAGATGGTACGAGAGAGAGATTTCTCAGCCAGGGGCGACGACGACCTCGCTTGCGCAGGCCACCTTTAGATGCGAGGTTCGAGGGCGCCAAGAACGGCATTGTGCCAGGATCTAGTTACGCGAGCGCCCAGGATCAGCATCATCATCAACATCAGCACCACCATCAGCACCATCGTCATCATCCTCATCCTCCGCCGGGAAAACGCTCATCCCCCCTCCCCCCAGACCCTGGAATTGATTATCCCCAGGGGTTCATTATTAGGAGAGCATGGGGCTACCATCGCAAAGGGCCACCTCCGCGCCGTGAGCCTCGGACAACCCGCCATGGCCCGCCTGGCCACGAATGCCTCGGCCGAAATTCGCGGTGGACTTGGGGGAGAAGGGGCGCATTGCATGCGCGACTGGGCCCCGGCAGCGCGGCATCTGACGGGAGCGGCGGCGACGGCGGCGAGCACTCCCCTAGATTTAAAGTCATCAGAGGAGGGGGGGGGGGGGGGGGGGGCAGCCGCGAGCCCGCCTCGCTGGCAGCCGCCCTGAAGACGATCAGCGGCGCGCAGGTGGTCTGCCGCGACTTCGTCAACGGCCCGAAGGTTGTCTGGGCACCTGGCTGGCCGAAGGCCACGGGCGCAGAGTCGGTCGCCCCGTCGCCGGACAGCCAGCGCGCCCGCCGCAGCAGGGGCCGTCGCCGACCGATCGCGCAGCGGCGACTGTAGCAGGTGGCGCATCGATGAAGGGGGCGGGGGCAGTTCACGACGCGCGTCGGCCTGATGCCCACCGTCCGAGGCGCGGGGCCCCGGGCCCAGCGCAGGGCGCCAGGCCCCCCCGAGACCGCCCCGCGCCCGCAGAGGAGGGGCAGGGTCTAATCCCAGCGGCAAGAGGTCGAGGGGGAGACTGCAGGCGCGCGCGCAGGCTGCCACCAGAGCGGGCGCAGCACAGCGAGAGGAGGCAGCCGACGAAGATGCAGAAGAGGAGACGAGCGGGTGCACCCGCAGATTCGAAACGTAACTGGACAAGGGCAGGCGGGGGGCCCCCGCGCTCGCCGCGGGCTGGGCCAGTTTCCCGCGGGACAGGCGCGCCATGCAGCCGCTGTAGTTCACGCGGGGCTACCCCGCGGACCCTGGATCACGAGGAGATGGGCGCGCCCGCTGATTTCGGGCACCGCGAGTGGATGGGCGACGCCCTGACCGACATGCAGAGGCGTCAGAGCGCGGCTACGCTTGGCTATAGGGCGGGGCCCCCGGCGGCGGCGCCCCTCGAGCCGTCGGCTGATGCGCCGCGGCGCTCCTCGAGCCGAGGGCGCGATCAACGTCGCCGCACTCGCTGGGGCCGCGTCGGCAAAAGCGAGCGGGGCCAGGGCGCGACGCGGCCGCGCTGCCCAGGCTGGCCCGCGCCATGATTATGGAGGAGGTGGGCGATTTCTCGGACCTCAGGTACCCCGATCGAGGAGCGCGAGGCAGAGGCGTCGACGCGACCAGATGGACCTCGGGACCCCGTCGGGCGGCAGAACTAGTCCCTGGGCGCCCTGCAGGAGCGCCAGAGCGAAACGAAGCGTTGCCAGAGGTCGAGGCCCGCAGCGGCGGCGCCCCTCGCGCCGTCAGCTGACGCTTCGCCGCGCGAAGATTCGGGCAGCGACGCGCTTTGCGGGTCAGGATGCCCCCCCATCGGCAACCCTCGAGCCCGGGGCGAGATCGCCGTCGCCGCGCGCGCTGGTCGCGAGAGCTGGGCAGCTAGAGCAGGCGCAATGGGGGCAGATTCAAGACGCGGACAACACCACTATGGCCAATTTGCAGGACGTAGCGGAGGCAGCCAGGCCCGGCGCCGCGAACAATAGCGCGCCCGACTACATCACCAACAACGCGGCCTACTAGGCCGCGTCGGACGAGGTCGGCAAGTCAGGGGCGCAGCTTGCGCGGGGCATGAGAGCGCTGGACACCCGCTACTGAATGGCCCACCGATTCGCCCCACTGGACAGGGCGAAGTACCACGGGCGAGAAGAGCCCGGGAGGTTCACGTTGACGAAGGGGAATGAGAGACACGAGAGAAGGGCGCGCCACGTCAACCCGCGAGCAGATTGGCGGGGCCGGGCCGAGATTGCGCTGCCGTTGCTGCCCAGGCTGATGAGGCGCAACCGCTCGCAGGCGCAGCAGGCGCATCTGGCCGCGGCGGGGGGTGCTTCGCACGATGGCA